AAGTACATGAAATTATGTTTGGCAATACCCCAAGATGTATGAAATTTTGGGACATTACATGAGTCACCTATACAATTTAATCAATTTAGACTTGAACTGAGTATGTGTCAAAGTTTATTGATCATTCATTATGTTTGTGCATGATATCAACTGCATCTTTGAGTTGTTATATTATTGTTACCTTGGTCATTTGTGACAAACGAGGGAGAGATGATAAGATGCATTTAAATTTTAGATTTAAATTTTAGTTTATTTTGTAGTAAAGGATATATTTTTTTGAATGGGAGATGATTTTTTTAATACTTAGTTTTTTTTTAGTTTTAGTGTTTTGTGATATTAATGTTTTAGTTGGTGTTTTGATTAACATTAGTATTGCTTCTCAATCTAGTTAGCATGTGATAGTCTGTTTGAATTATTATATTTCTTGTATCACATGCTTTTACACTTGATATTTGAGGTATTGATTTCAGGTAACAGGTTTCAAGAAATGCAAGAGATAGACATTTAGTTTGAATTTGGGTAGAATAATTTTGTTTTTACATCCTTGACTTGTATTGTATAGTTTGATCACAAAATACCAAAGGGGGAGATTGTTAGGTTTTTAGCTGTATTGGCAATTTTTTAGATAAAATGATTATTGTAAAAGAATATGATTGTTATAAAGTCAAGGAGTCTTTTGGAGGGTTGTATAGATGAATTAGGAGTCTTTGAGTTCGAGTATGGAACAAGAAAGAGTCGTCGGATTTACGTTAGCCCATCGCCTAGCTGATGCTCGAGCGTCCAAAGCTGAATTATTTTTGCCCACTTGTCGCCTGGTTCTCGCTCAAGCGACACACCTCTCGCTTACCTGGCGCTCGAACGATGGTATTTTTTGAGAAACCCTAGTTTGCATTTTTCAGGAGTTTTATCTATCTTATACTGCCTAAACACTTCATATTATAAATACAGAATGCCCAATACATTTTTGGTGGTGGTTGATTATTGTTTTACATCCTTATATCATTATTCCAAGAACACATCCAAATATTTAGATTAATATTTTGATTCTTGAGATCAATCAATCACAAGTTTGGGAAAAATATCAAATTTATATAATCCAAAACACTCACATCCTAGATATCATCAGGAAGATATTTTCTCAATAACATTCAGCGATTGTTGAAAATTGAGGGAGGTTGGACCAAAAGTACATGAAGAGTATAAGAACGAGGCGTTTTTGGTGTTTCATAGGAAATAGATAATTCCAGAAGATCGAGAGCAAATGTGAATGAAGCACGTTCCAACGGGTTTTGGAGATTGCAGAAATTACATCAGCAAGCATAGTGGATTTTCTAAGCTGATCATATTGTAAGTTCTTATTGTCTATAATGGAACCTACATCTAGGTCCTGGAGTTTTTACTTAGTTAAGAGTTTTCTCCATCATCAAATCTTGTGTTATTTCTTGCTTTAATTATTTATTGTGGCAATTCAACTTAGGATAACTTGACTTGATTGACTAAACATCTAGAACAATTAAAAAATGACTTGTTGCTTTTAATTGATAAATTTAATTCTCCGTTATTCACCTATTAGGTGATTTTAGGGTTGAAATAGTAACTTTCATCAACAAATTTGATGTTATGGTCGTCAAAATTTTCAAGTGATGTGAAATTATTAGGGATGGACAAAAGAACCGGAACCAATTGAATGGTTCAATTTCACTAATATTTTTAATGTTTTTGCTTATCAAAGCCTAGAACCATTCGGTTCTGGTTTTGGTTCAACAATCAAGAAATGAATCTAATTTAATTTAAGTCTTAATGGAAAAATATCATTTATCTTATCACCAATCCGTTTATGAATATTGGATGAACTTTAATTTATGAATGGATGAATGAAGTATAACATAATTTGCATTAATAATTTAAAAATTCTGGTTTTAGAGCTAGAACCAAATCAAATCACAATCGAATGGCTTGGTTCTAGGTCGTTACTATTATTAAAGATGGAACCAATGATTCTATTACAAAAGTTAAAAAAAAAAAATTGGGTCCTTGATTCGATTCTCTTTGAACTAGAATCAAATCGAACAGCGCTTACCTTATGAATAATATTGCGTTTTCAAAATGATTTTTGTAGTAAACGAAAAAAANTTTCTTAGCCAATTTTTCACGTCCGACTCTTGTATGCTCACAGGGAGTTGTGCTCTTTAGGTAAGTTATACAACTCTAGTTCTTGAAAGTTGGTTTTAGGGATTTGGACGCGTACACCTAATTTTCTTGTAAAACTAAGATCATTTTTCGGTTATAATTAAAATACTGTAGTTTTCAACAAGCCTAATTTATAATTATTTATAAAGAGGAATAGTAGTTAGTTCCATAAAATGTGTGAATAATAAATGATTAGTAAATATAAATATGTTGTTTAAAATTAATGTTTGATTTTGACTAAATTTATAAACCATTTATATATTAACAACCAAATAGAGATAGAGTCAAACTTTACAAATAAGTTGTTGCATGTATTTATTTTTCACATTAAGTTTGACGTGTAAAAATCGTGACCATTGACTTATTTAAATCAATGCACATAACTTTGACACGTCAAGGGATGTTAAACTAATGGTACAAAAGGAATGTACAATTAGTTTAATTCTTCAAAATATGAATTTTGCTAATTGTACATAAGTGATTACTGAAAATGATGTGGAGGGAAAAGATTGAATGAAAAAGTTGAGTGTATTTTAAATTGACAAATGATAGAGTGTCATGTGGCATTATATAGTCACTTATGTAAAGTTTGATGTACATCTAACAAGATTCAGTGCTTGTTTGGGAGGGATTTTTGGAGGAAGAATTGATTTTGAATAGTAATATGATGGGAAATGTGTGGTTGAAAAAGAAGAAAAAATTATTGATGTGATGTAAAATATTATTTTATTGAAAAATATGTGACTGTAAATGAGAATTGATTTACTGTAGAATTTTTAGAATC